GCTGTGCAGGGAGCAGGATAGCGTCTAATAGCTCAGCTACTAACGCATGATGTTGAATAGGCTTACCAGCCGATGTTAAGAAACCGCGCATTTTCCACAAGACACCCAAATCATGGCACACACCAAATGCATACCTGGAGTCTGTGAAAATGGTTGCAACTTTACCTTTAGCCAAAATACACGCCCTAAGCAGAGCATACAACTCTGCAGCCTGAGCCGACGTGCCATTTGGCGAGGCCCGGCTTTCTAAGACTTCCCAGTCGTTGACAACAGCATAGCCTGCTAAGTGTACTGTGTCAGACGGCCTGCTCGCAGACCCGTCTGTGTATAGAATCATATCTGAATTAGGGATAGGAGTTTGCAACATATCAGTTCTGGGGGAAGAAGACATGTCAATCGTTGTGACGCAGTCATGTGTTATTTAAAAATCTGGAATTGGCACCAGCGTAGCTGGGTTTAGGGGGGGGGGACGTTTAAGAGTGATGTGTGGACTTGAAAGAATTACCGCTTCATAACCAGATCGCCTTGCTGCCGTCATATGCTGAGTAGCAGAGGTGTTCAGAATATTCAAAACTGCATGTGGGGCATGTACTACACAGTCACTGGCCAGTACAATAGGAGAGGATTGTTTGATAACAATTGCAACTGCGGCTACTGCACGCAGGCATGAAGGCATACCAAGCACCACAGGGGACAGTCGAGATGAGTAGTATGCAACAGGCCGGAAATTAGAGCCATGCTTCTGTACCAAGATGCCCGTTGCAAAGCCCCCCTTCTCATGGACGTGCAGGTGAAAACGGCTGATGATAGTCAGGTAGACCCAGGGCAGGAGCCGATGTGAGGGCTCGCTTTAAGTCCTGAAAAGCAGTATGCATGTCCTCAGACCATTGAACAATGTTAGGGGCAGCCTGCAGAGTGGCAGTACGCAGGACAGAGTCCATCGCAGCGTACTCAAAAATCCAGTGTCTGCAATAATTTGCCATACCCAGGAAAGAAAGCATGTCCTTCTTTGTGCGAGGTGGTGCCACTTTGTTCAAAAGGCAAATCCTTGCTGGCGAGAGGAGGCGGTGTCCATCCCTCAGAATGTGACCCAGATACGTGACCTCAGTCTGGCAGTACTGCAACTTAGCCAGGGATGCTCTGTGCCCGCATTCAGAAAGTCTTTTCATGAGCAGAATGGAGTCGATGCGACAGGCGTCCATGTTGGGAGAAGCCAACAACAGGTCATCTGCGTACTGAAGCAAGGTGCTACCTTCTGTAAGGACCAAAGTGTCCAGATCTCTCTTAACAGCTGCTGCGTACACACTAGGTGATTCAACAAACCCCTGGGGGAGGCGCGTGTATGTGATTTGTTTACCTTTACAAGTAAATGCAAACAGATACTGGCTGTCTGGATGCAGAGGAACAGAGAAAAACGCTGAACATAAGTCAATCACTGTGTAGTACTTAGAGTCTGGGGGCAGAGAAGCAAGAATCAAATTAGTGTCAGGCACTATAGGAGCTGTCGGAATGACAATAGCGTTAATAGCTTGCAAATCTTGGACAAAACGCCACTCATCAGGGCGATTGTGCTTAGATATGGGTAGAATTGGAGTATTACACGGACTGGTCGTGTAGATTAATACGCCCTGATCGAGCAGAGATTGGATGACTCCTTCAATTCCCAAAATGGCTCTATGGGGTACATTGTACTGTCTGATAGCTGTCAATCTGGCATTGGCTTTAAGTGTCACTCTGTGTGGAGGGGCTGAACTAACAAACTCCACATGATTCTTGTGTTTGGCCCATAATGTGGCTGGAACCTGAAGGATAAAGATAAGGCAAATGTGGCAGTGAATATAAGATATAGTAGGCCTATCATGGAAAAGCTAAGACATTGAGCTGTCTGAGTGGAAAAGTACAGTACTGTGTTAAAGTCCAACTGCTGAGAAGCCTCAGTGGAAATATACTATGTGAATACTGTGTGCAACAAAAACGCGGAGTCAACCAGATTAAGAACAGAGGCATCCTGTTATGTCCAAACTGATAAGCCACAAGGTTGCAGAACTCATTATTCTCACACTAAATCACCCACCAAGCAGGCGCAACAGTTCACAAGGGCAGTCTTGTGAGTGAAACCAGATAAGGAAGTGAGTGAAAGCAAATAAGGAAGTAACAAAAGCGCGCCAAAGTCTAACCTAAGAGTTGCTAGGGTAGCAACGGCAGATTACACCACAAGAAAGCAGCGAAGGTGGGGGCTCCGCTAGGAACAGTATATAAGCAGAATGTATTCAGTACTCGAGGCTCTCTCTTCAACTGGGATCTTACACTGACGAGCTTGTCACGGTGAGAACTCAAGAAGAAGGAGTCCAAGGCGCTTTGTGGTATAGTATCAGATTGATGTATCTTTGTTGAACTGTGTAATAAAGTGCTTATTTGAAGAAACAATCCATTGGAGTACAAAGTCTAGTTTTGTACAGCTAACAGAGAATAGTGTCTAGGACACAATTCCTTTTCCCTCAGAACTAAGAAACGGTCATCGGCAGATCCGGACAGCGACCCCGCTCTAGCCATATCCAAACGATCTGCGCGGAGGACGGACCTGGTCCGGTAGACTCCAACAGCTTGGTGACCCCGACGTGATGGTCTAGAGCAGGTAGTCTGGACACCGATGACCTTCTGAGAGGACACCAAAAAAAATTGAGTTTACGGCTTTTACAAGAAACCATCTCACACAATCAAAAACCCGGGTAACTCAGAATCAAGGTAAGCATCTGCCTGTTACAACAAATAGATGTGTTTGAAATACCACTACATTTTAGGATTGTGTGAAAATGGCAGAAATAATTGTCTCAGCTAAAAAGTAAAGATAAAACGTAAATAAAATTGTGTGCACTAAATAGATCAACAAGGGCATAAACAAATCTGTGGTGAGAAGCGGGTGAAACCCGTAATTTATGAGGATCCGCCGCGGTCCAAAGGGAAGGTGTAAAACTGGTCGCCGTACCAGTAGCCATAGTACAGTGTAAAACTAGGCAAGGCCCTAGTATCTAAGGAAGGTGTAAAACTGGTCGCCGTACCAGTAGCCATAGCACAGTGTAAAACTAGGCGAGGCCCTAGTATCTAAGAAAAGGTAGAAGACTAGCAAAAGACGCTAGCAACCAGAGAATCTAATAAAGAAAGATAAGGAAAAGTAGAAAATGGAAGGCGAATTTGCGAGAGAAGAAGCACTAGGCTTCAAGATCCCAGATGTACGTTGCGAGGTTTGGAAAGAATGGGTGGAAGAAGGACAAAAGGAAGTTGAGAAAAAGGATCACAAAAAATGGGAAAAAGGGGTAGCAAAATTGTACGGAAAATTGACAGATAATGGCATACTGACAGCACACAGACAAAGAACTAAGGATAAAAAAGGAAAGTTGTTAGGAGGGAAAGATACAAAAGGAATGTTCAAAAAAGCCACCAAAGGGCTAGAACAGGGGTGGCCAACCAGTCAGAGGTTAAGAGCCACATTTTTTCTATGTTACTGCAAAGAGCCACATCAAACACACAGTCACTGATACCGCTTGTTTCAGTTTTTTTTTTTCTGGAGACAAGATTTCAACCACGTCACTGGTGCATTTTTGTGGCATTGGGATATATATTTTTTAAATCCTCTGGAGCAGAGAGAGGAGCTGTGGATTATTGTTATTGATTAATGCATCAGTGTTTCTTAGGGTCAAAAACACTAAACTCACAACTTCAAATGAAAGCGTTTAGTTTATTTAATAAAAGAGCACATGTTCAATGTGAAAAGTGACAGTAGTTATAGATTATTTGCAATTTGGTGCGATATATTTAAAAAAAAATTATATATATTTTTTAAACACCTTGAATTTCAGGGGGGGGCGCGGGGCTCCGTTGGCGGGGTGCAGCGCCCTTCCAAGACAATGGTAGGGGAAACACTGGATAGTAGTGTTTAATCATAGGTTTTCCCCCACTCAAAAAGTGATTGGTTCACTGCATCGCAGGTATTATTGTGATTGGCTCTTGGGCCACATCAAAATTAGACGCGCTGTCATCCTCTCATACTGACACCACACATACACACGTAGGGAGAGCCGGGACGAAAGTAACACGGCACGAAAGTAACACGGAACGAAAGTAACACGGAACGAAAGTAACGGAGCAATTTTATCCGAGCCCAAACAACTTTGACCGGCCAAATTACGTCAGAATTATCAGCATTCAATACTTAACAGACCTACTAAATATCAGGTTTAACTGTCAGGAGTAGTGTTGTCACGATACCAACATTTTGGTTTCGATACCAAGTCAAGAATTGCGATTCCGATTATTTTTCGATACTTTTCTTAAAAAAAGGGAAACAGTCTTAAATGTAATTATTGTGCTTTATTTCACACCAGAACCATAACACAAACTTTTAAACAATGAGAACAATAAATACAATAAATGACAAGAATTCGTATTAAATACAATTAATACATTTCTTACAGACAGGCCTCGTGGTGTCCGTAGGCTTGCCCTCACTGTCAGAGATATAGCTAAAATACTTCCACATTTAGCTTCTGGCGTCTTTTTTGTCAACAAGCCGAGGGGCAGCGGCAGTTGCACTCCCACTTGCAGCCATGCTTCTCGTTTTCTCACATGCTCTGGCAGCTAGCGCGTGCACGAGAGCGGGGAGGCACTTGAGCCTGCTTGAGAGGGGAGGGACTGCAGGCACGGCTGCAGAGCAGGGAGTGGAAGCAGAGCGCTGAACACACACAGCTCTTATTTAAACGGCGCTTTCTCACCGGAGTACTTTCCGCCGTCATTCTTAAACGGAGGAATCGTAACGTTTTTAACGGCAGGGTATCGCGGTATACCTTTCAAGTATCGGTACACCGTGCACCACTAGTCAGGAGTCAGTGTCTCTCCCCCAAACTCACACATATAAAATTCAATATGAACTGAAGAGCCGCATGAAACTAGGCAAAGAGCCGCATGCGGCTCGAGAGCCGCAGGTTGGCCACCCCTGGGCTAGAAGAAGAGCTCTGTCGTCACAAGAGCATAGACCCAGGGCGATGGTCACTCAAAAAGAAAGCACACCAAAACCAACAAGAAAAACTAGAACAACTAATTAGGACCTCATATGCCATGGTCTCAGCCGCTGGCCGCCTGGAAGAAACAAATAAAACCACCCCGGCCACACAAGCCCCCCTAGTAGCCGCGCCAGTAGCAGCACCGGCAGTAAAAACCCCCGCAGTAGCAGAACCCCCAAAACCAGCAGAACCCATAATCAACCAAGAGAAACACACGGCCGCCACCGCCCCAGCTCTCCTGTACCCCGAGCTCCCTAGAGAACAGCATGAGGTGCCACCCCCGTATAGCCCAGCCAACCCCTTCAGCCAGGCAGTGCTGCACCCTATGAGGGCTGGACCCACCGACGGGTATTACCAGATAGAGGGAAAAGTCTTATTAAACCAAACATCCCCACCTTTGACCAGAGCAGGGGTACAAGGACCGTCCCCAGATAGGAGATACCAAGATACCCCATACCCTAGACAGGAACACAGCAAAGAAAGGGGAGGGGGAGCTAAAACAAGCGAGCATGAAGACACAGATACTCCCCGAAGAAATGAAGGTAGGGCGTTAGCCGAGGCGAATTTAGAGGCCGAGTTAGCACAAAGAAACAGAGACAGGGCCACCAGCACACCAAAAACACCCAATCAAAGCAACTGGGGAGAAGGAGCAACTGGGGGACGGGAAGAACAGCATAAGGGGGTAACAAAAGACTTGTTGGGCGATTTTCTGGGATCATGGGACAAAGCAAGGGGAACAGGCTCAGGGGGAAGGACCACAAGGCGAAACTCAGTAACCAGCGAAGAAAAAGAAAGCATAAGATTGGGTTTAAAAATGGGACAACAGATAGAAAAATACGAAGCCTCCGCAAAGAAACTGGAAGCAGAGAGCAGGAGGAGAGATGAGGAAGATGAAAGAGACACTAAACAAAAAGAGGCTGACATAATACGCCGAACAGAGGCCGCAGAAAGGAGAAGGGGAAGAGAGGAGGAAGAGCAAGATGACAAACAGTGGGACGACCTGCTAGCAGGGGCAGACGAAGCAGAGGAGGAGGACGAGCCAGAAGAACAGGTCCTTCCGATGCACTTACCTAGAACCCCTAGGACCAGAAATGAGACTCTAGGGCAGAAAAACCGCGCAAGTAGGCCCATCACCATAGCTATGACAGGAATAATAGAATCAGGTTACGTTCCAGGAGCGGTGACTAGAGCACGAACGCAGAAAAGGCGACATAACGCTACCCAAATGCTAATGACTGAAGCCAGCCCCCCACCAATTCACCCATCCTCTCCCGAGCCCCCGGCGAGACAGATGCCCTTAATAACTACTTCTCAGGGGGCCAGGGTGTATCAACCTTTCTCCCTATCAGATTTAGGGACCATGTCCGCCCAGATGCCACCCCTGTCCCAGGGAGGGGCACCATGGATAAGGTCATTCACATCCCTAGGGGCGGGTCAAGCATTATGCCTTGGGGATTTCCGCCGCATACTAGGAGACCAGACAAATGCCTCGTTGCAGAGTTCGCGGACGAATCCACAGCAGCCAGAGCCAAAGGACACACAGAGGAAGCTGAGGGCAGCAGGGACGCTGAATACGTCTGCCTGAAGACGATCAAACCCAAGTGGTGTGCTCCAAGGTTCTCTGAACCACTCAAGGTAACCCAGCGAACAGATCATGCAGTCAGAGTAGACGGAAAAGGAGACACGTGGTACCAATGGAGCAGGTGTGTGGAAGCACCAGCACCTACCAGGACCCTCGCTGACACCATCCAGGACCTAGGCCAACTGAACATCAGGCAAACAACCGAAGCCCCCCAACCCCCAAGTGTGGACATCGACTCCACTTCCGAGGAGGAGGAGACAACAGGGGAACCAACAGCAGCCCAGGAGATAACAGCCGGCGAGGAGGCACAACAAGGGACCGCTCCCCCAAAGTAGGCGGTACACCACACGCATCACATACACACACCACACAAGAGACACTCACCTACACTGATACACCAAGGAACTTTTACAAGAAAAACAAAGATGAAGAAGAACTCAGGACCTAACCAACACCTCTATTGCTTGGCCTTAACACTGTGTTTTTTCATTATTGTTGGAATAATCATTATCATAGTGGGTGAAAGGGGGAGGCAAATCATTGACCAAAGTAATAATCCAAATTCCCCACAAAATAAAACTACACAAGATACCTTTTCTCCTCCAAAAAACAGCCTAACTAGACACGTCCGCAATGTGGCCGGCACAGTAGATACGGCAAATTTAACCCAATGTAACCAGAAAGATGCATTGAGACACATCTCGCTGACACTTTGCCTACCCTCGGACTCAAGCACCACTACCCTCATCCCGTACACCAGTTTGTCAAACGAACTCAACCAAAAAGGAGGGTCGTGGGGAAACAAATACCAATGGTACATGACGCTAGACATTTGGTTCGGAAAAGGCGATCCCAATGAAAGATATAGCTATGGTCGAGCGTGGACCGACTTGGTGGGAGAGACAGGGGCGGATTGGAGTTCATCGTCAACAGGAACAGCGAAAAAAGTAAGGCAAAGAGTACACCTGGCAAAATCCTCATCTGGCCTCGTAGTACAGTTAGACTTAACGGGGGTACCCCAACCCAAGAAAGATGAACCCCCTTGCGCATCCTTTTATCTATGGCCCAAGACATCGCCAAGCCCCCAATTCTCTATATACGTATGCATGTCCAGTCGCATTAAAAGACCACAATCTGACATAGTATCCGTCCAAAAGGGGGTGGTGATCCACTCCACTAAGGAGTGGACGACTGATCAAGAGTTCCAAGCAGCAACTGGAATCTCGGGACACTCAGCAAACAGCAACAACTGGTTACTGATGGCACAACAAGCCGCGCTAGACACAGGCGATGACTGCCTCGTTTGTATGGGAGCCAGACCCCTGCTCCACATAATTCCTGCCCCGGTAGAACCAAGGTGTGCCACTGAAATAATGGGGACAGACAACCCTCAACACAATTGCTCTAAATACGACGTTTACTTCCCTTTAGCTAACGCGGAATTAAAAAAGCCCTTATTCTTTGCAAAAGTTCCGAGGTTGAATTACACCTGTTTCCACACCACAATCAGAAACACCGGGGGGTTCAACAAAACTCTCTGCGACCACATAGTGACACCAACTACACCTGGACGTGGTGTAATCCGAGCAGACATATGGTTCCACTGCAGTGGCAACCAACTCCACGATCGCGTCCCATATAATGCCAGTGGTCTATGTGCACTGGTCACTTTGCTTCTACCAGTGAAAACCTACAAATTAAAAGTAGGGGACATAACAAACCTGGCAGAACAAATACCCCTATCATACTACGAACAGAGTCAAACGCGAAGCCATGATTGACCCAGATCCAACGTACATAGACGCAATAGGGGTACCACGGAGCGTACCAAGTGACTACAAAATAGCCGATCAAGTAGCGGACGGCTTCACATCCATCATCTGCCCCTGGTGTGTCATCAATAAAAACTCAGACCGCATCAATTACATTCATTATAATATCCAACGCCTAGGAAACCTCACACATGCCGGACTCAAGGCAGTTAGTGAGCAATTGAAAGCCACATCACTCATGGCCTATCAAAACAGAATGGCCCTAGACATGCTCCTAGCAGAAAAAGGCGGAGTATGTGCAATGTTCGGAGAGCAATGCTGCACCTTCATTCCCAACAACACCGCTGCAGATGGCACTCTACAAATAGCACTGGACGGTCTGAAAACCCTCAACTCCCGCATGAAAGATCAATCTGGTATCGACGGTAAATGGGACGAATGGATGTCAGTGTTCGGTAAATACAAAACCCTGGTCACCTCAGTATTGGTATCAATGGCCGTGTTTGCAGAAATTTTGACCTTGTGCGGGTGCTGCTGCATCCCATGTATCCGCTCAATGGTGGACAAAATAATTAGTACCGCCATAGCACCTTCTACTCCCCTGGGCCAACAACTCGCCTTGCTATCCTTAGAAAACAACCCAGACATTGAAGAAGGCGAAGAAGAAGCGGCAGCAATGGACACTTTCCCGACAGCACCACCAGTACCACCGTATGGCAGAATGTGGGAAAGAGAGACAGAAGCCTAAAACAGCTGACATAAATGTACATAAACAATAGCGTTGTTTTGTTGCCCCAATCATTAGAATGGGGCAAAAGGGGGATTGAAGGATAAAGATAAGGCAAATGTGGCAGTGAATATAAGATATAGTGGGCCTATCATGGAAAAGCTAAGACATTGAGCTGTCTGAGTGGAAAAGTACAGTACTGTGTTAAAGTCCAACTGCTGAGAAGCCTCAGTGGAAATATACTATGTGAATACTGTGTGCAACAAAAACGCGGGGTCAACCAGATTAAGAACAGAGGCATCCTGTTATGTCCAAACTGATAAGCCACAAGGTTGCAGAACTCATTATTCTCACACTAAATCACCCACCAAGCAGGCGCAACAGTTCACAAGGGCAGTCTTGTGAGTGAAACCAGATAAGGAAGTGAGTGAAAGCAAATAAGGAAGTAACAAAAGCGCGCCAAAGTCTAACCTAAGAGTTGCTAGGGTAGCAACGGCAGATTACACCACAAGAAAGCAGCGAAGGTGGGGGCTCCGCTAGGAACAGTATATAAGCAGGATGTATTCAGTACTCGAGGCTCTCTCTTCAACTGGGATCTTACACTGACGAGCTTGTCACGGTGAGAACTCAAGAAGAAGGAGTCCAAGGCGCTTTGTGGTAGTATCAGATTGATGTATCTTTGTTGAACTGTGTAATAAAGTGCTTATTTGAAGAAACAATCCATTGGAGTGCAAAGTCTAGTTTTGTACAGCTAACAGAGAATAGTGTCTAGGACACAATTCCTTTTCCCTCAGAACTAAGAAACGGTCATCGGCAGATCCGGACAGCGACCCCGCTCTAGCCATATCCAAACTATCTGCGCGGAGGACGGACCTGGTCCGGTAGACTCCAACAAACCTCAGAGAAGTCCGAAGGGGGTCCATATTCTGTGAGAGGAGGTGGTTGTAAGTGAAGAAATGTGCTTTGGGGGAGACGAATGGGCTCCGGGAGACGCAGCATGTAGTGTTCCTCCCCGAGGTTAATTAGATTAGGTGTGTGTGTGTGAGGGAGAGAAGCTGTTGCAGCTCCCAGCCGAGCATGGCAGTGGGCTGCCATAGCCCCCACCTCCTTAGGACTACTGCCTGGAGTGACAGCTAGTGTGACGTGAGGGATCGTTTCTACAGCTAGAAGAGCCTGCTGTGGGGGTGTGAGCCTAAGAGGCAACGCACATCCTTGTGGTCCTAAAAACAAAAACTGCTCGCATTCCAACTGATCTGAGCTGTTGCAAAAACCTCTTACTGATAGCGCATAGTCATCTGACGGGTTAAAAGCAGCTGTGCAGTGACAATTCAACACAGGCCGCATAAGAGACATTAAGGAAGCACACACAGGGGAAATCTGGAAATGACCAACAATAAAGGTTGTCTTGAGATGATTGAATGAATTGGACAGCTTGATGGACTTTGCTGTCAGGAATAGTCAAAAACAATCCATCTGGAGTGTAATGTATTGTTGCCTGTAACTTACAAAGTAAGTCTCTGCCCATTAAATTAATAGGACTTCCATTTGAAATAATGAAAGAGTGTTGCACATTTGACCCAACGATTGAAACATTAGTACTCTCTGAAATGGGCTCGGACATAGGAATGCCAGAAACGCCCATTGTTGTAACAAAATCATTAGTTGCTTCACACACTTTCTCCTTAGTACGTACTGCAGACAATGTGGCTCCACTGTCAATCAAAATATCTACAGGCGTACCACTAAAATCAACGGGCATAATCGGATCTTCACGCGGGTTATTGGAAAGGCGAATTGTTGCTGCTTGAATGGGGAAATGCTGTGAATCTGATCCTATTTCTCCATGGTACCCCTATCTTCTATTAAATCCACTTTGCTGACCGTTTTGCCCATGTTGAGCCTGTCTGTCATAGTGTGGGGGCGGCAATAATGTGGGATGCCGGGGGGGCTGGGGGAGAGCAGGCAAGGATTGTGTGTTCTGCTGAGCTCCCCATCTCTTTTCGCACTGCCCCGCCCAGTGGTCCGTTGCACCGCAAACATGACATGGCATCAACTTTTTGGAATTTTTGTTCTGCTGCTGTCTGCTCTTGTTTTGATAACCCTGTGATCTTCCCTGATTTTGATACTGCTGTGTGCGGTTTTGTCTCTGAAACTGCTGAGAGTTATCCGCACCCTGATAAGCCTGTGTATTTTGAGGCAATTGTTGCAGCAGCTGGGCAATTCTGGGGGTCAGACATATCTGGCTCCTATGCAGGGCACGCATTGTGGCTATCGTGAGTTTCCAGGTTTTAACTTGCCAGTCAGGAGTCGCCATCATGTAGGCTTGAGCTGTCTCTGGGATTAAGTTATGTAACAAGCTCTGTATGGCGAACAAATCATTGCCCTCCCTTTTAATGCCCGCATTATTATCCCACACTGTCATGAAACGCTGGATAAATTCTGGGACAGTTTCTGTTGGGCTCTGTACGCAAGCCATCACTTGGGAAAAATCTGTGTGAGTCTTAGCGCATGCTCTAATAGCCATAGCAGCGACGTTCTCAATCCACATGTCGCGCGTCTGTGCCGGAGGCCAATCACCTGCAGGCGTACACTCAGGAAATTTAAACTCGTCTCTGCACGTGGGCCAATCTGCCTTGTATGTTAGGATTATCAGCTGCTTAACATCATGAACCAAACAGTTATAAACCGAGCAGACATTAGTCAACCAGGACAGATACTCATCTGGGCTTTTAGTGGGACTGGGAGCGTGATTAGTGACATCAATGACCTCAGCGGGTGTCCATGGCTTAAAAACTGGAACCTCTCCTATCAGAATTTTCGGGGCGGTCACAGTTTCAGCAGAATTATTATTCTGAGATGTTTGCATTCTCGTGATCATTGTACGCTGGACAGTCTTTGGAAAACTGCTGCTGTACGGCGTCCCTGGGTAATCGTGTAAACGGAGTGGCGGAGTACGAGGAGAGGGGGTTCGGAACAGGCTGCTGTCTGAAGAATCCCCTTCACCCTCCGCTGCACTCTGCTCCTGCTGCCCCAAATCTAGTTCTCTATAATAGTCCTGACTGATATCTCAACCCATTTTCATTCATGATAGCTGCAGCTGTCATTAACAGATCATCATCGGAGTTTCTCGCAACAGGATTTGAGAGTTCTGTCGCGGGGATTATTTTTGTACAGAGAGATACAGCCTGCTTTTCTTCCAGCAGCCCAGCGTCTGTTAAAATGCAAATGGGCTGAGACGGGCTGGGAGACTTCCCTTGTCTTTTCAACCAATCGTACACCACTGATTTAGCAATGGCTGCAACATCTTTTCCGTGTCTTTCCTTAATTCTGGAAATGTTCTCTGATTTAACATCAAAAGCAGCCTCTAGGCTAAGCAAATGACAACTCGCCGCACATTTAGAAATCCTATAAATCAACACTTTGAGCTCAATGGAGCCTCGCTCGGTGCCAACAGATTTTTCATTATTTCGCTCATTATATCCTCTTTTCTCTGCAATAGACATCCAAGCTTTAACACATTCTTTCATATATCCTATGTCCCAGCAGGGGTTCGGCTCATTTTCAACAATTTTAAATGCCTGCCACAACACGGTCATGTCAAAAGTACCGGTTAAAGGCCAATCAAATTGAATCTTCCCTTTCTGATTATTCTGCTGTGAGTGTTCACAAAGTAACGAGGTAAACGGCATAACTTTAGACCAATCCAAGCTTTTTCCGATAATTCCAGACGGCATATTAGGGGAAAACATGTGAGTGTAGTGGCTGTCTGTAATTGGATTTTCAGAAGGTGTCTTGGTGCGTGAATTCATTTTCCTCTTACCAACTGAATCGTTTGTGGAGACAGTATTACCCATGTTTAACGGTTAGTACAATAAAACAAACACTGCAATTAGACAAACAAACATGAACTCGCAACAAACATCGGCGTGACAGCAAAGCTTATCCAACTTAATTTAATCCGAATAGAGAGGTTTCAGAGGAGGTAGGGAAATATCTGTTTAATATGAGTGCCTTCTTACTCATATATACTTGTACAAGTGCTAAGAACGGAATCTGTTGAAGAGCAATAACTAATTTATTCTCAATCAACAACCACTATGCCAATTTAGTGGTGCTTTGCCCACCCCCGATCCGGAGAGCATAGACGTTTTATTTATCCAGTACCCTTTCTACTCCAACAACAGCCACATTTAACAACCCATCAGTTCATTACAACGATGAAACACAGCGCTATGTCACATTCTCGCGTACCACCCTTCCCATTAATGACCAATTAACCTATATTATGTGTGCACCCCGGGCAGGCACCCAGTTTATCCAGCAAGTAGGAAACTGTGGCGTGCCAGGCGACGCACACACTTCGTTGTCTGCCCCAGTCTTGCCAGCAAAATAGTAGAAGACGGTCGCAGACAAAAATAAATGCTTTTAGACCATTCTGTTTTTTTTTTACATCGGCAATGGTGTGAGGAAAATATATGTGACACTCTGTGCTTATCTTCCTCTTTGCCTGCGGCCCCCGCAGGCGGGGGTGAAATCACACACACACCCTGCAGCAGCTGCAGGCAGACCCGAGGCGATGCCTGCTGTTGATTTAACCGGTTGACCGCTGAAACCTCCAGAATTCGGCGATTTGTTTCAATACAAATCTATCACATTGCTCCTAATGCAGAAGTCCACTTTACTGATGCTCTCTTTAAGGTCTCTCCGAATATTTGCTGTGTGTAATTGTCTGGTAATTTAATTCCAAGAAACACACACAGAGGAAATCAGTCAAAATCGATATTCCTAGGTTATTATTACCCCCAAATATTCTTATTGTTTTTTCACATGAGCTGTGTTTGCTCTGAAGGCACATGCCCCAGCAGCAATCACAGGGAAAATCGGCCAGGATGAAGTCCCCTTAGACACCGATTCCCCAGGTTATCATTAAAACCCCAAATGTAAAGAGTAGAGAAACCAAAAAAATGCAGCCGCTCAGTTTCACAGGTAATTTTTATGATACCGTCAATCACAGATTCTGGTAAGGCAATGTCCAAATATAGATTTGAAATTACACTTACCAGTTCTGAAGATCTTTTGGTATCCTACCGACAACGCCAATTTGTGATGGAAACTTCTGTGCAGCAATGCAGAGCCAAGGCTCAAGAAAGGATGGAAGCTGGAGCGGCTTTAGTCAAACACTGATATTTATTGAGAATAGAATACGGCCGGAGAGATCACAAAGTATATCACACTTTCATGTGAGCCACCAAGCAACACTCTGAAGACATAAAGTAGATCTATATATCCTTAAAGGAGGGACCTAAAAAGCCCGCCTTTCCTACCTTAATCATTACCAGACATTGGAACAAAGACCCGTTTGTATTACAAACTCACATGTGCCCAAACTTCTCACCCACAGGAAGGCAGAGGACCTCTTGACCTGTGTCCTCCTCACATTACAGGCAGGAGCATATGCGACTTAACGAAAAGCATATGTTTGTAATTTAACAGTTTCTCAGAAAAGCTCAGAACCTCAAGACACAAAGAGATCTCCTTAAAATATTCTCTGACAACATGGATATATCCGCCTTCTTTCATTTATCTTTCCATTCCCACAACAATATACATAAATAAATGGCGTATTTTGGACATAGTTCGAATGGTGATTAATCATGATTAATTAATTTTTAAGCTGTGATTAATCTGATTAAAAATTGTAATCGTTTGGCAGCCCTAATTATTACATATTACTGTCATATCTATAGTTGTGTCTTTGTATACTTAAGTCATATTTATAAGTATTTGGTGCTCATTACATCTAGCTAACGTTAGCTAGCAATAGTTTGCTAACCACAGTTAGCTATCTGTTAAGGTGTGTGAAGCAGGCAGGACCCAAATGCAGATTTAAACTGAAAATTCCTTTATTTCGAGGCTACCGGATACAAATAAAGACAAAACAGAGCACTCACCGGAGACTATTCACAAACAAAAGACGAACCAACACTGAACACAGGACGAGACAAGACTAAATACAGGGAGGAGTAATCACAAGACGAGAAACAGCCGGGCAGGGGAGGAGAAACACAAGGGCCACAGGTGAACACAATCAGACAACTAGACACACCAGGGAAACTAACGACAGGGGAAAAACACAGGAAGAAGGACCGGACAATATACAAGGAGGAAAATACCCATAACCAGACATACAAAACTCAAACGTGACATAACACACTAATCCTGACACTATCTATGTTAGCTAAGCTATTAAGCTTAACATCAACAGTAGCAGCTATTCTAGAGTGGACAATGTCATATTCAGAGTATTGATGTCTCGTGTTTATTGAGAGTAGCATTGTAGTTGTTACAGTAAATTAACATTTTAAATATAAGTATATTTGCGAGCACAGCTAGCTACTCTGGTAGTAACGGTAAGTTATGTTGAAGTTAGACTATGACAGCTAAAATTTGAGGCTTATGCAAGCATGGTTTATCATAATTGAGTGATATTAAGTATGCCAAGATATGATTTTAAACTCTATCCTTGTCCTTGTATTAAATTAACATTTTAAACATAGGTATATTTGCAAGCACAGCTAGCTACTCTGGTAGTGATGTAAGAGTAAGTTATCATTGTAATAATGAAGTTGGACGATGTACAGCTAAAATACAGCATGATTCATCATAATTGAGTGATATTAAGTATGCTAAGATATGATTTTAAACACTATCCTTGAGCTTGTGTCCTTTTCATTCCCAGGCACTGCACAACACAAACCACCCCAGGATCCAGCTCTCCTAAGATGCTGCCCTCACCAACTGGTCCCTGCCAGACTAGCAGTCGCAGCCTGGTCTTTGGTCTGGGCCCCAGCATCACCAGTGAGGATGGCATCACCGGCGCCAAACTGCCAACTGGTCGTCAGATCTTACGCTGCATGCTTGCCAAGAAACCTGGTGCAAACGGAGCGTTGTCGCAGTTCGAGGCAACCAAGGGTGTCCTGGAGCAGGTGCGGCCATTTTACAAGAAAGCCAACATCCCAATGGTGAGCGACAAGCGTTCCTGCCACAAGATGGTAGACTTAGTCAATGCTAACAACAAGCTGCGGAAAATCTCCCAGGCCAAGCGCTCCAGTGAGACTACAGCGAAACAATTGGAGAAAATGGAGTGCAGACTTGATGCCACATTTCCGCTGTGGCCTCCAAATGTTGAAAAGCTGATTGATAACCCAGAAGACCTAGCTTTCTTGGCCAGCATGAAGACGACAGAGTGGCCACATTTGGTGTATTGGACAAAAAGCTGCAGCTCAAGGTGAAGCGGCGAGAGGAGCGTCAAGCTGCTGCAGCAGCCAGGCAGTCCCGTTGTGAAAAGGAGCTGGAGGGGATGACGGCAATGTCCAGCTTGGTGTCGGAGAGTGATGAGGAGCCAAAGGAGGATACTAACACAGTCTGTCCAACATCTGAGGGTGAACCATCCCACAAGCGTAAGAAGACTGGAACAAACGTCTTCATTCCACATGACATCCTTAGCCGACCAAGTGTTGTGTCACTGGCTACAAGGTTGAAGATGTCACCAACGCAACAGGCTGCCTTCACGTGTGGCCTGGTTGCAGAGTCAGGCGGTGAATGTACACATCTCTCTGCATCGTACGCAACAGCTGACCGAGCAAGACGCCAAGTGCTGGAGACAATCAGTGAGGAACGGCACAAGCAGTGGACACCACCTCCATTGAGCTGCACATTGATCCAGAATGTATGTCTCTCGATGTGAAGGAATGGGCGACCAATGCTGCGTTAAAAAAAAGTGAGGTCAATGTATGTGCAATGAACGTGGTCAATGACTGTGCTGAGCGTGGCGTCAAGCTCACGTCTGACTTCGTCGCAGTGGCCAGGAAGGAGCAGCACCTGCAGAATGTGCTGCAGGCAGTTGACCATGACCGCAGCCAACAGCCAAACCTTCGCCGCTGCAAACGCAAGGTAATCGCAAGCTAATCGCAAGCTTGCGATAGGACGGTTACTCTTGGGTGGCGGGTGGGGAGACATATCTGGGGGGAGACGCACGGGCTAGGTTCAGAGTTCAGGTTCCATTTCCTCTCTTTCTCCCTCAGTGGAGCGGACTCTGGCACAGACTGAGCAATTAAGTTTGAAGTTTAGTTAGGGTTTGTTCTTTTAAGTGTATCAGTATCGCCCCTTGTGTTTAACAATAAAGTCAATTAAACTTTATATGTGTGTCCGACATCCATCACTGCTGCACAAAACTCAGGGTAACGTGAACATGTCCCATTGAGCTCCATTAATTTTGTCTATAGGACAAATGAATGGAGAATCTTGAAAGTTGAATTCTGAGAAATGCCCAAGTTGCCCAAAGGGCAAACAAACAACTTTTACTTTGATAACCCTATAGAACATGTTACTGTATAAAAGTTCACTGTACTCAACATTTCCAGGTCAACCTTTTGGCAATTAGACTAAAAATTGCAAATTTTTCGAAATTTCACAAAAGTTCATGTCTTAGGTGGCACCCCTTACATCTGGAATTTTCTGCGTGCAATGTGGAGATTCAGGCTGCGAAGATCCAGAATGGGTCTGAATTTGCCTATCTTCTTGGGAACCAGGAAGTACAGGGAATAATGCCCCTCCTCTCTGTCTTGAGTGCGCACTGCAGACACTGCCTGTTTTTGCACCAGGGCCTGAACCTCTGCCGAGAGGAAACCTATCTCCCCTCGGGACCTCTATTATGCCTGTGAACAGAGGAGGGATGCTGCAAAACTGGAGTGAGACCCAGTCTCAGCGTCCTGTCCATCCACTCCGTTAACACACAGCTGCGCTTCCATTCCCCATAACACTGCGTTAGGAGATGTGCAATCAGCTGTGAGTAGTCATATTTATACGGTTTCAATCCCATTAGTATTAGGGATGCACGATATTGTTTTTTTTTTTAAACCAATACCGATAACTTCCTGCTAATCAAGACCGATACCGATACCGATAACCGATAATAAAAAAAATGTTACGCCACTAATTATTTTAACGCGATTAACGCATGTATATTTGTTTTCCTTGGCCGCCCCGTAGTTTCAGAGCGCATCGAGTTTAAAATACCATCTACAAGCTGATGCTGACAGCCCCGCTCCTGCCGCCCGCTTGTGGCAGACCACACTTCCACGCTCACCGGCAGGCACCGACCATAGACTGTATATATAAAGGCACCGACTGGCCATCTGGAGGACCGGGAGGGTGTGTGTATGTGTGGCCCGAGCGAGCGAGAGACCTTACGTGCATTGTTGTTGTTAGCATCTGGTGCTAGCTAGCTGCGCTAACGGATATAAGGAGCTGTTTAAATGAAAACAGAGGAGCGACATTTCGCCACAACTGCGCCGAGCACTTGACTTTATGCACGAAGCCAGACAGTGGGACATTGTACGAAAAGTCAGCACACTCAGCACGGATAGTGCGCAACATGATTGCAGCGTCCAGGCAGCTCCGGTTCGAGCATATGCCTTGAGTTGCACATAGCTCCAACGCCCATACCACCGACGACATGTTTGTTTACTGTCCTGGCTTCACGGCCGCACACCGTTTACGTCACAGCCAGGCATGAGTTAGGAAGCGCTGGATTTGTGAAGAACTCCCCTCTTCCTAAACCACTAATACCACAGTACTGGCAAAACGGGAGGAGCCGAGTGAAAAACAAGCGCCCCTCATCCCAATCCACCCACACCGCAGTATTTTTTTCTTTTGTTTTACCCAAAAAATATATTGTATATTATCGGGGCTATTAATACTTGTATCGGGTTTATCGGGATGACGTCATAATTCCTAATATCGGACCGATAATTATCGGGCCGATAATTAAAGTGCATCCTTAATTAGTATGCATAAGAAGTGACAGGTGGACCACGCCCTCAATGATGCTAATGAGCAAAGTACCGCCTCCCTTTGTTCGAGGTGTTATCACACGTGATGTGAGGGGTGTTGTGTCATCACACGTAGGTGTGAAATGCCCCCCTGTAGTAGCGCCTTTGTTGTCTAATCCTTTGATGTGAGGGTTGAGGTGTTACAACAGGCCGGTGTGATCACCCCTTCCTGTCAGACCCCCCATGTGAGGGGTGATGTGTTATAGCGTGTAGGTGCTATATGTCCCCATGTAGTACAGACTTTGTTGTCTAATATAATTAGCCTCTGATGTATGTCCTTTGATGCACCCTGGCAGTAGAGCCTTTGTTGTCTAATATAATTAGCCTTTGATGTATGTCCTTTGATGTGAGGGTTGAGGTGTTATAACATGCCGGTATGATATCGCACCGACATGTTATAAGCCTTGGATGTTAATCTATGTGTTGATTAAGACAGTCTCTTTGAAGTTGTGCGTGAGACTGTCTCGCACACCGTCCCCTCACACCCCCTGCCTCTCACCCCTTCCTGACACACCCCCATGTGAGGGGTGATGTGTTATCACATGTAGGTGCGATATGTCCCCATGTAGTACAGCCTTTGTTGGCTAATCTAATTAGCCTCTGATGTCTGTCCTTTGATGCACCCTGGCAGTAGAGCCTTTGTTGTCTAATCTAATTAGCCTTTGATGTATGTCCTTTGATGTGAGGGTTGAGGTGTTATAACATGCCGGTGTGATATCGCACCGGCATGTTATAAGCCTTTGATGTTAATCTATGTGTTGATTAAGGCAGTCTCTTTTGAAGTTGTGTGTGTGCCTGTCTCCCCCGCCCCCTCACACCCCCTGCCTCTCCCCCCTTTCTCCCTACTATAAGGAAGTCTCTTTTATGAAGAGGGGTAATAATAATTTAAAAGATCTTAATGACCCCCTGATCTTGTATTTTTAATGTTTAATTACTTCACACAACTTTCAAGGCCCTATGAAGTTGTTGTTAACTAAGGATGTTCTTTTTGAAATAGTATGGCTTGTGAACTGGATGTTCTCTTAAGTTGTATGGTTTGTGATGCTAATGTTTTAATTACTTTATTAACTACAAGGAAGTCTCTTTGAAGAGGGTAATAATAGTTTAAAGATCTTAATCATGTCTTTTTTATTGTTTAATTACATTATTAACTATAAGGAAGATTCTCTCACAAAGGAACTGTAAGATACACGTTTATGTATGCAAAAAGTTAAAATTAGAAAAAATGAAATACTTTGTCTAAATAGATGTTATTTAAGAATGTGACTCTAAAAGGCAAGTTTGTGATTTTAACACTTTTACTGACAATAGGCAGATTTAGCTTTTTTTTTTATCTCGTTGTCTTTCTCTTACTTTTTGGATAGAGTTTTATGTATGACAACTTTACAACTGATAGAAAGTTAAGTACTTTTTCTGAACAGATTTTCTTTAAGACTGTGACTCTTAAAGGCACTTTGGGATTTTTAAGACAATCCAGTTTTCTGGAAATAACTTCAATGATTTTTGTTTTTTCTCCTACAAAGATACTTATAGTTACACTTTATTGAATGCAAAACTTTCTAACTTAGTAAAATATTAATTGATTTGTAAAGAATTTAGTTTTTTAAAGAATCAAACACTAAATGGAGAGTTTGTAATTTTAACACTGTTTCGATGAAACAATGCAGTTTTGATAACTTGACTTGACTAACATTACTTTTTTAAATATATGTTTTTTAGATGACTTTACTGATTGTTTGCTTTTTTCTGCTACCAAGATACTTTTAGATACAGTTTGTTGCCTGAAAACTTTACAACTGGTAGAATGTCAAGTCACATTTATTTTCTTAAAGACTGTGACTCTAAAAGGCAAGTTTTGGGATTTTAACACTTATTTACTGACACTAGGCAGATTTAGGCTTTTTTCTCTTTTCTTGTGTTACTAAGATACTTTTAGATACACTTTGATGTATGCAACACTTAACGACTGCTAGAATATGAAGTATTTTGTAAGGAATTCGGTTTCTTTTAATGGCCTAGGTAGATTTTGGCTTTTTTTCTCTTGCCAAGATACTTTTAGACACACTGAGGTATGCAAAACCTTAAAACTAGAAAATGAAGTACATTGTCTGATTAGATTTTTTCTTAAATATTGTTTCTCTAAAAGGCAACTTTGTGATTTTAACACTTTTTACTGACACTCAGGCAGATTGTGTGTAATTCTCTCACAAAGGAACTGTAAGATACACTTTTTATGTATGCAAAACCGTAAACATTTTTGAAAATAAAATACTTTGTCTGAATACATTTTCTTTAAAGGCACTTTTGAAATTATTTATTTATTATTTGAGTGGAACAATCCATTTTTTGTTAACATCAATGGTTTTTTCTCTTTTCTTGTGTTACTAAGATACTTTTAGACACACTTTGATGTAGGCAACACTTAACAACTGGTAGAATATGAAGTACATTTTAAGGAATTCAGTTTCTTTTAATGGCCGTTTTTTTAAACACTTGCTCAGTTAAACAATGTGGGTTTTTTTTCTGATAACCTTACATATTTTAGTTATTTTCTGCTACCAAGATATTTTTAGATACACTTTGATGTATGCAACACTTAACAAAGGGTATACTATGAAGTACTTTGTAAGGAATGGGGTTTTCTTTAATGGGTGCAAAACTTTAGAACTGAATAAAATATTCATTAATTTGTAATGAATTGAGTTTCTTTTTTTTTCAACATACTATTTGTACACAATGACTTTTCCATATTATTATTTTTCTGACAAACTATACTTTTGACTTTTTCCGTAAAATCATGACAAACTATTACTTATTCTTAAATTTGACCTCTTGCTGCTTGGTTGGAAATGATAGATGACAAAGCTTAAAGAACTTTTTTTAAAACTCTCAATTCTACAGATGACTCCCCCATTCAACGCAATAGGTCCCACCCCTCCACTCAGCAAATCATCTAAAACGAAGGACCCCACTAAGACGACCGTTGAAAACTAGCCATGGATCTGAGAAAAACCAAGTCTCCCCCCGCGAGTTGCAGCCAGGAACAAACTCCTGGACTACCATCATCACCACCATTTTGGACACCCGAATCTTGCAGTACTACTGCTGCTGATTTTGCTCCTTGGGCCAAGACGTCTCCGTTTGTGGACACAGTGAAATCGGTGTTGGTTGATATTGTGGAGAGGGTGATGCATCGGTACAGAGAATAAATCTGCAACGGATGCCGAGTCAGTCACCCCGGCCAGAGGCAACACGATTGTCTGAATGACATGCCCGATTTTTTCTTCAGAAACAATTACAACGCGTTAATGAAAAGACTTTGGCTTCATTCCTGAGATTGACCAGACTCTTATTGATAAAGACATTTACACGGATGAATGGAGGATCCAAGGCGCTTCGGAGGCTTTTCTGCACAATCTCAAAAATTGCAGACACCTCAAGGAGAGACTTGAAAAGATCCATGCCGAGTTGGATGGAGAAGAAGACTAATAACCAGCGGTTGATTGAAGCCAGGGCTTTTTTTCTATTTCGACACATTGACTTTTTCTTTAAAGTAAAATAAAAATGGGGAACTACTATGCAAAACGCTCTGTATATATTGATCAGAATGTAGTCAATACCCTTTTAACAAGTGTGGTGATGAGGACGATTGAAAACAGAATGAGTTGTGATCCCCGTGTAAACAGAATGGCTGAAGTTTGTAAACTAGAAGACATTTTGGATATCGCTCATTCTGGCAGTACACTGAAAAAAAAGGGGAAAGTGGGGTTGTTCAATTTGCAAATATGCATTTAATATATGAAACATAATTTATTCATGTTTCTCGTCGAAACATGAATCAATCATGTAGAACTATGTTAATCTTGAGGGGTGTACGTTATATAAGTCTCAATCATGTTAAGAAATAAGAAAAAAAGTGATGTTTGTCTCTGTAACTCCGCCCACTGAGCACATACGTCAGCAGCTTGCTCCGCAGCCGATTACTCAGCTTCTAATTATTATTTACAAATATTTTATTCATAAATTAATATGGTCGGACTAAAACCCGTACTTCAATAGTTTCGTAATTGAACCTGGACAATATGGCTGTTACGATCTCAGGCACTTAGGATGTTGGATCCAATTGCAGACAGGGAGACAGAGGTGTGACGAGGTGCTGGAGTCGGCCGGTACGCCGACAGGACTCGGGGAGCTGGAGAGCCAACAGGAGACTAGGTGCTGGAGTCGGCCGGTACCCCGACAGGACACGGGGAGCTGGCGTCGGCTAGAGAGCCAGCAGGAGACGAGGTGCTGGAGTCGGGACCATGACTGCTGGGGCCGGTACTTGAGCCGGAACCATGGCTGGAACTGGGGCCGGAACCATGGCTGCTGGGCCAGGTACTTGAGCCGGAATCATGGCTGGAACTGGGGCCGGAACCATGGCTGTATGGGCCAGCTCTGGTGCAGGGACCATGGCTGCATGGGCCAGTTCTGGAGCCGGAAACATGGCTGTAAGGTTTGGAGCTGAAGCCTGGATCATGGCTGTGTGTGCCGGTTTTGGAGCCGGAAACATGGCTGTAAGGTCCGGTTCTGGAGCCGGAACCATGGCTGCTGGGCAAATAACCGGAACACGGATCCATGGCTGTGTGGGATGGTACTGGAGCACGGTACCATGGCTATGTGGGATGGTACTGGAGCACGGTACCATGGCTGCTGGGTCCGGCACTGGAGCCAGAACCATGGCTGTTGGGGGCGGAGCAGAAGCCTGGACCCTGGCTGTGTAAGCCAGGTAATGGAGTATGGACGCAAAGCTGCGTGGGCCGGTACTGGAGCATGGAGGCATGGCTGCTAGCTTGGCGACTCCTTCTCTTATCAGCCGCCTGAAGGCTCCGTGGACCTCCATAAGCCAGACGAGTTCCAGCATACGACTCCTGGACAGGAGCACGACCTGGGGCAGAAGCATGGGTTGACTTCAGACGGATCCCACCGAGGCATATGGTGCCAGGTTGGGAATTGGGAGACAGGGAGCTAGCATGCCTGGGGCTAGCAGACCGGGAATCCCACACCGGGATCATGGCTGTTGGAGCACGGGCTGGAATCCTGGCCCTGCGTCTCCTAGAGGCTCTTTGGAGACTCCGTGGACCTCCAACAGGACCGTAGTCGGATCCGAGGAAAGGGTTAGATGCGTCGGACCAGTCCTCAGGACAACTTGTGAAAAGCTGTAACCACTCCGGCAAAAAACTCCTCAACCAAGGCATTTCGGCCACCTCCATTCGTGCCCTCTCGAGAATAGCCTCTTTGTTCTTTCTAGAAGAAGTTCCTTTCCACTCGGCATGAGAACATTGAAGGGAAAAAGTCTAGATCGAACAGATCTAACTCAAAATCTTCCATATCCGCTGGGTCCATATTCTGGTCACTTCGTTCTGTTACGATCTCAGGCACTTAGGATGTTGGACCCAATTGCAGACAGGGAGACAGAGGTAAAGTATTGAAAGATACTTTATTTTTCCATGACTGGCAAAAATGAACAAAAAGGTAACCACCAAAACTGTAGTCGAGATGACAAAAAACAGAGAACAAAAAAAGAAGGCGCTCACCCAGTGAGGAATCAAAAACCTTTCATGAGTACCAGGAGCATAGACCTTACCATGACAATAGACAAGACGAACTGCCACTGAACACTGGGAGACAGGGGAATTTAAACACAGGGTAACTAGACACAGGTGGGAACAATCAGGGGCGGGGCTGACACTGATGAGCACAGGAGACACACAAGGAGTGACAGGTGAAAACAATCAGGAAATTAGACACACCAGGGAAACTAACGACAAACATGAAAACACAGGGAAAAGAGACCAGACAATATACAGGGAGGAAAACATGACAAGGAGAACGGAAAAACACCCACACCTAGACATAGAAACGTGACATAATAATCCTGACAATGGCACTTTAATGGACAAGATGTAAAGCAGAAAAACATTGCAAAATATATTTATTTTTAAAAATGTGAAGCTTTTTCTTTTTTAAACAAAGGAGGGGTTCAGCTTTGTGAGCTGGTGCTGGGGCTTCCTTGGACGCAGGATCAGAGTGGTGATTCCGGCCTGCGTTGTCCTCAGGATTCGCAGGGAGTTTCCTGATCCGCGAAATGTGTATGTTGGGTTCAGACGGCAGCCAAATTGAACCGTGTAGCATACCCGGAGATGACCTCCTCCCTGTCAGGTCGCTCATATTGGGAACACAGGTCCTCTGAGATGGGTATCTTCAGAAGCTCCTGTGTGAATGGTGCAGGGTCCACAAAGACTTGGTCGAATATGAGGTCCATCAAGTTGGCCACGTAGCCTGTGCAATATTAAAAAAAGCACAACAAAAAATGTGGTTTAGATATGCATGTAAAAAACTGAAAGTTCTTTCTAATTTTTTGATTTTATATTTGTAAATAGTTGTATAATAAATATTTTAAACACTTACGGAATGTGGGGTCAGTCTTTACTGGTTTTGCTCTGCATTCTCCCTTCCTGGCCTTTGGGAACTGCAGTTTATATAGAGGGTTTCCAGTGGATGTAGTGGCTTGTGCACGCTCAGCGTTTTCATTGTAGTGCAGGGCTGCCAGGTACAGTCTTTCATTTCTGCCATGAGGAGAAAAAAAGTAAAAAATAGCAAAGAATGTACAAATTGTCACTAATTAGTAAGTAACTATGGTTTATTTTACCTGCACAACATTCCAAGAAATGGAAACACAACATTCTTTGGAGCAAAGCGCAGGATGACGGCATGGAATGACTCCAAAGATCAAGTCTGGTGGTGTGGGCTGAGTTTGGCCACAGCTTTCAAAATCCTCTTGGTTGAGAGAATTGTCTCCAGCTTGTGAAAGGCCGGCGTTCCTAAGAATTTGAAAATCAAAGTCATATTTGAATTGTCATGCTTTATAGATTGTGTCTGACAACATCCTGTATTCAATAGTTGTCCCTTACAAATATTTATAGAGGAGTAATGTAATATGGTTTATGAACAACATACCTGCAGCCATCCATTGGTATTGCGCAATGCGCAGTGGATGAAGGCACTTAGGGAACCATTTGGCCACTCTCTCAGGCCCGGTGGTGGAGGTTGCTGCAGTCCAGTATATGTGGTTTCTTATACTCTTCACCCACCCTCGAAGTTTTTCGCAGTCCTTCTTTTTTGCAGCCTTCTCCAGTTGCTTAGAAATCCCTAATAAATACATTTAACATGTAGTTAATATACATACAAGTTTACTCAAAATATTATTATAATTATAGAAATTAACATAAATAAAAATACCTTTTTCTATGTGCCACACATCAAAGAATTGGGTGATGCTGCTTTCCCTTAGGAATTTCTGAATTTGCAGATGTCTGTCCGTGACAATACAGTCCAGAGTCACACCACGTTCCTTTAACAACTCCAGACTCCTTTTCAGGCCCTCTAACTCCATGTGGTAGCTTCCACCAACCTCATTGCTCTGTTATGACACATACAAATAACCATTGATACACACATTTTAAATATAACGTGCAAACAGTGTTAAAGAAAAAAACATTGATATTTCATTTCACCCCACTTACCTGAACCAACTGGAGGTCAACGACTTTGTTGTTCTTCAGGTCCATCATAGTGTAGCTTCCGAACTTTGCATAGTGGCCTGTGAAAATATGTTTTACAGTAATTACTTTTCTCTGCGGATGGTGAATTTGTATTTTTGCTTGTAGTGTTTAGCATATGTTTTTCAGGAACCATTAATTGAATAAATCACACATAGTGAAACCCCTTTCTGAAATGTAAAATGTGAATTATATAAAAAATACATACCTGGAGAGTCAGCCCTCATATCACCACCAACTATCACTTTCTCCTCTGCATGGAGCTTCTGTAGCATGCCTTCCTGTGATTTTTGCCAGTAAGAAACAATCGCTGGCTCAATGAACATCCTGGCATGCCTTCGGAAGGTGTTGTATTTGCATAGCTGCATATTCATTGTTTGAAGACCTAATGGTTGAAAGAAAACCGCAAGAACACATTTTAATCTCAAAGATCACCTGTAGATTTGTTGACGAGTCGATGAGGAGAACCTGGAAAGTGCAAATGAGCTGCCCTTTTTTAAACAGGGAAAGAGCTGAACATGTCATTATTTTATGTCATCATTTTCTCACTCTTGTTATTGTTACCTTGTCCTATCGTATTCAACAACAACATTTGCATTTTCAAACATTGGCAATACAATCTTCTGCAGTTAATTTACCTTTGAAAGTTTGAAGAAAGATGCTCTGTTGACATATGTTGCAACTGATAGCTGCAGGTTTCCAACTGGAGTACTCCCAAGAACAGGCTGGCTATTCCAGTTTCTTGTAAACTGACAATGGGGGCACAGCTGCTGCACTGATATGAATGTACCGATCCTTCTGGTTTGTACATTACACACACGCTTGCACACAGGACATGATTCAAAAAGCTCCATGAGGCAGGTCTCATACACGATGTATGTGTTGATCGTCTGGGGGGGGTTTTGTTCTTGACCACTAAAACAAAAAAATAGAAGTTAATATCCATCACACAGATTGTTGCTTTAGAGATCTTTGGTGTTTCCCTATTATCAATGTTTGAATTATATACAGCAAAAAACACAATACATAGACAAACTCACACATAGTGATATTTCAGTAACTTACGACATGGCTGTTGTTTCTGTAGCATTTGTTATGGATTCTGCTGGATCATAAGTTGCATCCTGGCCTTCGGAAATCACCAAAGAAGAGCTTCCCTCAAATGGATCTTCGTATTCCTCTTCAAGATCCACACGGGGCCTCTTTGGTGGTCTCTTTAAGGGGGTGGATGTTAAAAAGGGCACTGGCACTTCCAACGGAAGTGTTTAGACACCAACGCTTCTGCAGGGAATTTTAGCCTGGACAGCTGTAACATAATTGTATTTGACATTAAAAACAAAACAAAAGATAAAACAAAAATATTTTACAACAATTAGAAGCACACAAATTAAAGGCTACAACATCAGAATGTCAAGATGTATCCAAAGAACATTTGAAAAACGTGCTTCTAACCTGTACTTCGATGTGAACCAAGAGTCCTCGAGGATAGCTGTGTACGAACAGTACGGTACTTGGGTGGGTCAGTCTGACATGCAGAATCTGTCATCACAGGTAATCTGCTGGTAGCATGTGAGGTGCTGGCCTGTAAAGAAGAAAACAAAATCATCTCAATTTAGTATTCAGGATGAGAAAATACTATTTGGATAAATATCGTCTGAAATCCCAAAAGATGGGGGCTAAAACTCTCTATTTAGCAAAGCTCTTTGCTTAGCCTTTTCCAATCTGAGTTAGTTTTGAACCGTAACGTGCATGCTGTGTTTCTGACTCAATACAGATGATGTGTTGGAGAGGGGCTGAGCTCAGTAGACTGACTGTAATGAGTGCTAGCCACTAATTAGCCTGTTGCTAGGTAAGGCCTCGTCAACAACAACATACCAACGGGGCTTTAGTTCTGTTTTACTCATGGTGTGTGTCCCCCCTCACATACATACACACAGTGTTGTATCCTAACACATCCCCATTTATATTCATGTGCGTAAACAAGTAAACATACAAAAGCTTTTACATATAACGCTGGAAAAAACGGCATGTCTCATTAGCGTAGCGTAGCTTAGCTTACAGATCTGATCGTTCTTACAGACTACAATCACAAAAGCTTTTACATATAACGCTGGAAAAAACGGCACTTACCTACAGAAGATTACGTTTGTTATTATAACTTACTCAATATGATTTTAGAGGATACAAAATACTAATAAATAGGAGAATAAATACTTGTGTTATCGGCTAGGGCGTGGCTTTACAGCCTTCACACAGATCGCCATTACGGCAGTATGTCTGAACATGTTAGCAAATGCCTGATAATTAAAATAAAAGACAAAGCAAAGACTGCGGAGCGTACAATATAAAATGTTATAAAAACATATAAACACCTAACCGATTACTATTTGGGTTTGAGGCGACATTGATACGGCAAAGCTACATGCTACATGCTACATACTACAAGCTAGAGATAGCTTTATCAGGAAAAACACCGCTAAATAAAAACTTACAGCTTCAAAATTGGATGTGTCCTCACTGGCCTGCTCCCGGATGGTTGGTATTGATCCCGGGTTTAGCATTAGCTTGGAGGCATATCCGTGTTGGACTTGAGAGAAGTTCATAAACATGTCCGTGGTAAAATGTTTGGAACACACAAACAGAAATCTGCCGTGGTCTTCTGGCACATGTCCCTTGAAAATGAAGTCTAGCCACAGATTATTTTCTTTTTCTACTGATGGCATTGCATGCAGTCCCCTGTCCCGAGTCTTGCAGCCAACAACAGCACAAAGTTTAACTCGCTTAGACATCCTGGCAAGAGCAGACAAAAACACAGATGTGACTGGAGTTGATTTAGCCTGCCGATAGCCTATATGCGAATGAGAGGTTTGGCAATGCACGTGGCCGTGGCTCATTCCCCTGATAGGTGGAGAGTTGACCAATAAGCTGAGCACGTCTCTTTGTGACGTAGGAAAGTGTTGAAATCTGGATCCGTTTTTTTCAGATCCGTTTCAGCCACTTTTTTAGAGATTTGGCGAAGGAGGAAAATAGAGAGGGTTGTGTTTTCTGACACTTGGTGAGTTCCCTGGAACACCGGGGACACATATTCATGTATAAAAGACGTCCAAAGGTGCATTTTGCATGATAGGTCCCCTTTAAGTAATGATTGACATCATTGATTCAGATTTGTAAAAGTCCCGTACATTTTAATTTGTTCACATCTGTGGCCGATATATGCTCTTTGGTTTTTGTCTGGTGTTTTTGCCTTTTGGAGATGTCTAATTTATTCTTTATCATGTATTTTATTCTATCCTGAATCTGTAGTGTTGATATATTTAAAGCTCTGTAAAGCCTGACTTTATAACAATCAGTCGGTCAGGCAGTGGCCCGAACATGTACATTTCAGTAGCGTGGCGTGGGAAAAAAATTAGGGGAAGCCAATAATACGTCCTTTCTTTTGGGTCGGGGGTCTGGTGGTCAATGTAATAATGTAACCAGATGAGTGATTACAGCACCCGGTATCATTTTACACACATTTGTATCATACAGATGCAGGACTTACACACGCCTGTTATCTAACCGACAGGTCCGCACGCACTCTCCAGCCGAAACTCTAATAAGCATTCATTCACAAACTAAATCAGGAGACGTTTTACGTCCGATTCGCTCCTTTTTTCCTCGCTGTACACAGCTCCAGTTTGGGCATTGGCCTGTCATCAGATTTTATTTGTTGTTGCTGTTGTAGCGGAAGTTTAGTACAATTATGTTTGATTAAATCCTCCAAATCTCCACCCTCCATAATTGCACTTGCTTCAGTTGCTTGCTACTTTCTAACGGCGGTGAGAGTGGTGCTATCTATCTTCTATCGATTAGATTTATGATTCGAAAATTATAAAAGTAGGGTAGACATGTGGATATGATCCGACCGAACAAAACGTGCATTTATCTAACAGGTTAGTTTTCCACTGACCTTATTTCGAGCTATTTTCCAAAATCCTATGGAGAAATCTCATTGCTTTTTTGTCGAGGGAAACCCATAGACTGTATATATAAATGGGGAAACCGAGCGCAGCTTACTTCCGGGTTTGAGGATGCGTCACTGCAACACTAAATTGATGCGATTTGATTGGATTGTGAGGCAAGGGAAGCCAGCTGCCTCTGGCTTCCCTTGGCATGGCCCTGACCAATCACAGGTTGGCAGAGGCATGATGTGAGCCTTGTCTGATTGGTCAATCCCTCAGTTTTTTTTCACCAAGGGAAGACAATTTCGGCTGGCCTCCTCTCGCAACAGAGAGTGCAATCTACTGTTTCACCATAACATCTAAAGGGGCGTTGTTTCACTCTTTGTAAAATACTCAATGAGAATGGGGGAGAGACGGGCCGGCAGCAACACACAACAAAGAATTTCCGAAACTAAACAAAGTGTTTTTATTTATTTATTATAATTATAACTACAATCCGAAAAAACAGGGGAAGCCTGGCTTCCCTTGGCCTCCAGGAGAAAACGCCACTGGTACATTTAGCAACCCACTCTCTTCAGTCTGCGTACAAATGACACGACTTTACACTTTGGAAATATGTGCAATAGATATGCAGAAGTCCTATTTTGCGTGCACATGATACGCTAGTGTAGTGGCAAATATTATATGTTACCTAATATGCTAAAACCAAATGCAGTAGTTCCATGATGATGTATTTCAGTTCATGTCCTTTGCTAGACTTATGATTAACCTTAAGAGTGTCTGGGTGACAAACACAGTGTCTTGAACAAGTTCCTGTGTTTGTTCCCTGTTCCACAATGAGTTCCTGATTTCCTCAGTTATATCTGTCTTTGACCCTCAATGAGTTCCTGCTTTCCTAACTTCTAACTGTCTTTAACACATTCCTGTCTTTAACCAGTTTCTGATTTACTATATTAGCAATGTACCGTTTCTGTTCCTCTGGAAAGCAGGCGTAGCTTATCTCTCCATCCAGCCCTGCCACAGTGACAGGTGACGAAGTGTTGTTGAACTGTCAAGATCCTATAAAACCTACACACACACTTGCCTCTGTGTGCACTCTTCCAGAGTACTCTGTACTCTGTGAGACCTTTACCTTCGAGGCCTCGAATAAAGAACCAGAAAGACAACTCTATTTTGTTTCCCCAGTTGATTGTTTGATCATTCTGATTTATGTATCTCCACAGTATTGACAAGGTCAAGGATTTCCGTAACACTAGCCATTCCCATTGAGATCTGATACCGAGTTCTGCGTGCATATGATACGCCACGTTTTGTCCATCGGGTCTTGGTAGACCGGAAGCTGTGTGGTTCATAAAAACATGTTCTTACTCAATACCAAGCCACGATTATTGTTTTTATTTTAAATCGTATAATGTGGGACTTTTTTTGCCGTCTGTGAGGAAAATAAATAGGGCTCAGAGCCTCAGAATACTGAAATCTGTATTTTTTAAATCTTTTTCTCCTTCTAATTTGTTATTCTTTTCTAAATAACACACTGTTATTTACTCAACAATAACACACAGTTATCCTTGTTTTTATTTATTCGTTTAATTCTATAATCTCGGGCTTTTTAGCATGCTTTTTAGCCGTAAATACAGTCACAGGAAACAGACGTAGACGGTAAACTGATTACCCAAAATCCTCAGCTTGAAGCTCGTGATGTTTTAGCCGCAATGCACGTTGGGATATGGTGTTAATGCGATATGATATCCGAAAAAAAAATCACAGTTTAGGATGGCCGAAGACACTACACTACCCATAATCCCCAGCTATCGTTTGGACTACAGTCCCATTGACAAACCGCGGGAATAATCTTCAAGCTCTGGGATTGGATGTTGGAGTGGCAGTGCGCCAAGGTTACGCCGAGCGTCAAACAGCTCTTTTAAATGGAACGAAACCATGGCAGACCATCCAAAACTGGACTTGAACGCCCCCCCAGAACTACACATGCTGGCTATTGTGTTTCGCAACATGTTCTACTATGGCACGTCTCTACTGGGAATTGTAGTTTTAAAAGACGTTTTCGTTTTTCCCAAAATCAGAAGTTGACAGTATTAAACTGTGTACAGCCCTGGAGGTTTAGGCGATAGGAAACAAATTGGTGTGTACAAATTTAAAACATGTAATTACTAAATGGGTGATAATCGCTTGTATCCATAATGGGCAGCATTAATATATACCCACATGACAGCTCATTGTTACTTTGTAATTCTACTCCACTACAATTCAGAGGTTAACCTGGTATTTTTACCCCACTACATTTATTTTAGTTACTTTGCAGATTCTGATTAATGATGTGAAATATAAACAACCCTTAAATCAGACTTTAGTTACACCTGAGTAAAATTCAGGGAAAGGTGATTGTCAAGTGCCAACAATCAGGAGAGATATTTGATAGTTGGTGCTTGAGAAGACTAAACATGTATCTGCAGATCTCTATAAAGTTGATAAAAGACTTGACTTGACTTTGACTTGATATTCATGACTTGAGACTTGACTTAAGCTTGAGATAGATGACTTGAAAGGACTTGAGTGTTTACAATTAAATATTTGCGTTTGTTTTTGTAGTGAGATATTACGTTTAGTTTTTTTGAAAAATGTGATTATAGCGCCATGCGTGGCAAACCTGGCAACCCACTAGAAGGCAGGAGTCTCAGTTAACATGGCAGCCGCTAGCTTTACTCCAAAAATAGTCAAGTATTCAAGGATTATGTTGTCGATGACGGTAATAAGAAGAGAACAGCGGTATGCAGGGTCTGCAGCATAAAGATCAGTGACACGACCACCACAACATCCAACTTCATTCGTCACTACAAAAAAAAACACAGAGAAAGGTAGGCTACGTGCATGTGTTGTGTTAGCTAGAAAGCTAACGTTAAGTTTAAGCTACGTTAGACTTGGTTTCAAATCAACAAAGCATTGCAAAGAGAAGACAAAACGGTAAATGAACACTAGAACCGCCAAGGGATTCATTTTGACTAACCCTGATACTGACGGGCTGTCAGGAGAGGGAGAGAGAGAGAGGAAAAGAGATGCCTCATTTATTTCCCCTGTGTTATTATCAGAAGTTACTGTAATAGGTTGAATAATGTAGTTCATCTACTTTTAGTAGTTTGTTTATATGTTTTAATTATGTTGTTTTTGTTTGTAGAAGTGCATCATTCCTTGATTTATTGTAAAATGAATCTGAACTTTTTGATCTGTTATGATGATAAACTGAAGCAATTTCTAAATTAAACCAATTAATCCATCCATCCATCCATCTTCTCCCGCTTATCCGTGGTCGGGTCGCGGGGGTAGCAGTTCCAGCAGAGAGCCCCAAACTTTCTTTTCCCTGGCCACATCAACCAGCTCTGACTGGGGGATCCCAAGGCGCTCCCAGGCCAGCGAAGAGATATAATCCCTCCACCTGGTCCTAGGTCTACCCCTTGGTCTCTTCCCAGCTGGACGTGCCTGGAACACCTCCCTAGGGAGGCGCCCAGGTGGCATCCTAACTAGGTGCCCGAACCACCTCAACTGGGGCTGCATGATGGAAAAACCAAAAGCTCATCTTGTGTTTCTGTGTTTCCGTG